TCATATTAGGATATTTATTTGCCATTCAGCATGTAGGTATTGTTAGCATGCTCTTAACCAAAACTAAGGTTCCTTAAGCGCCATCCCTAAGCGCCATTGTTCCCTCACCCCCTTCCCCCCCCCCCCCCATGCAATATTTCGGGGGGTACTCCAGGCGTGGGACCTAGGCTGCACTCTCATGGGATGTAGGTGGGTTGAGGTTAGGGCTAGTTTCTAGATGTTTTGGGGTCGTTAAAAGCATCAGAAAGCAGGGCCAGTCTTAATATCCTCGAAAATGTTGGACTGTCCTGTCACGTCATCTGGCATTTCGCAAAAAAAAAAAAAAAAAAAAAAAAACGATTATTTGCCCTTTTTTTTTTTTTTTCATAATTGTATCGAATCCCAAATTCTGCACTCTGCCTAGGCAGGTAGATGCTCACCGTAAAGAACCTGTTTTATATAGGTAAAAAGCTCGTCTCTCTAGCGTAATTGGCTAAACCGGATTGCGCGGTGAGCGGGTGACGAACTCCTTGTGGTCCGGGTTCACTTCCGGGGGTGGGCAGAAAAGCCACATTTTCTCCCAGATTTACGGTATTTAAAATAGAATCAAAGCCGAAAGGTTGCGATATCCATAATACCGAGCCTAAGGGTTAACAACTCATGGCTTCTGGATACTAAAACAAACATATAGGTAAAAAAAAACTTATCTTTACTTTTGCTTTATTGACTATACGACACAATTTGATTGTGCGAAACAAAGAAATAATCACACTAGTGGAAAAGTTAAACAGTGAAAGAAAAGATTTACTAATTATAAAGAACATGTATCGGCAGCAAACAGCAGCGATAAGAATTAATTGTTTTTGGTGGTCATAACATAAACAACCTACATTATGCTGAGACACCATCTTGAAAGCGACAAGTCAGAAATAACTACAGAAATTGAAAGTAACTGTGGTGACAAAATGGGCCTCACTTTGAATAATGGGAAGACAGAAGTTATGGTGATTTCCAAGAAATATTGCTTAAATGTATAATAAGAGTCAAAGGCGTTATTTTAGAGCAAGTACAGAAATTCAAGTTATCTAGGCACATGGATAACATTTGATGGAGGATGTATCAGAGATTAAGAACAGAATAGGACAAGCTAAAACTGCCTTTTATAAAATGAAGAACATATTTTGCAATAGATCCATGTCATTGGAGGTTATGAAACGAATTCTCGCAAGCTAAACAGAGCCAGTTTTAACATAAGGCTGTGAATCCTGAACCATTAATGAACAATATTTTCAGGCGATGTGGTTTTGCAGAATAATCATCAGAAAAAAAACAGCAGCTCAGATGTTTTGAAAGAGGTGAAGGTTCGAAGACAACTTATCACAAACATCAGAAAGAGAGTCATAACTCCTTTTTGGGCCATTGTCGTTTGCTAAACATACTTTGCTATTCCACTGTATAAAGAGTTAATGAAGTGTTTACAGACTGAGAATGTAAACATTTGGGGGGTCACTGGAAGGCAGTTTTTTTCTTAGTACTTACCACTGGTATGTAAACTTTGGCGGAAAGTTCTGGGTGTCGTAAACTTCTGGACTTTGGTCTTCATCAACGACCTGAGTTTTGATGAACATCCGTTTTACAGACCTGGCTGTTGATGGACATCCGTTTTTACAGACCTGGCTGTTGATGGACATCTATTTTACTGACCTGGCTGTTGATGGACATCCATTTTACAAACCTGGCTGTTGATGAACATCCGTTTTACTGACCTGGTTGTTGATGAACATCCGTTTTATTGACCTGGCTGTTGATGGACATCCGTTTTATCAACCTGGCTGTTGATGAACATCCGTTTTATCAACCTGGCTGTTGATGGACATCCGTTTTATTGACCTGGCTGTTGATGGACATCCGTTTTATTGACCTGGCTGTTGAAGGACATCCATTTTATTGACCTGGCTATTAATTAAGTGCTTACCAGGCAGATGCACTCAGACTTCGAAAGAAATGCTCCTAATTAGTCTACTTTTATTACATGCTTTTTTGACGAGCACAGGGAGTCTATTCCCCCCTCACTTCGGTGGCCAAAAGATCTTTGTGGTCACACTTTTAATGAAGTCAAGGATTATCTACACAGCTCTTCTTAGATCACTTTAGCCATGCTAGGGGAAATAACATGGAAGCTATATTTCACCAACAGGAATAATATGGTCATGACATACCTGACAATCCTTTGGGTATTGGTTTCTAGTTTACTGACAGTGAGGAGGCAACAGATTGGGGAGGAAACATTACCTAGAGTCAAATCTAGGTACTGCACCTAATGTAGATTACATTCTAATATACCTGTCTGTAGATCTGAAGATCGGGTAATGGTCTTGCAAGCAGACAGTGGCGCGCTTAGGAGGCAGCAAAGGAAAAGCCTAGTTGTCCCCTTGTGTGATGCATTTTTTGTTATTTGAAACCCCACCCTTACTTTTGCCAGGGGCCCTGAATATAGTTTGACCATAAATATAACTTAACGGCTGAAAAGGGTTTCTGGGACCTCTCCACTGATGATCCTCATCTGCATAGTGGCACTTTGTGTCACTGGGTGTTTATCGCTTGTTTGATGTCCTTGGGCAGGGGTACAACAAGAGAGAGAAGCAGCAACTATATCACCCATGGTCATGGAGATAAATGCCACCTCCAGAGCACTCGCATGGGCAGTAGAACAAGCAGCCACACGGGGTTATCATAACCACACTCCCTGAACATGCTTCAGAAAACTGAAACAAGTAGCCCCCCCCTTTTCAAATGAGTAGATAACATTCACAAGTCGAACCCTCCCTCGCCCGCATCTATATACCTAGGCATGCTGCAGTAAAAAAACAGAATAAATGGACCATCTGGCAAATACTGTACGTGGATAGATGCATGGACAGAGCTGATATAGTCAACACTATACAGACTAGACTGCTGGATAATAAGGAATCTCTGACTATAGCATGATTTCATGATATCATAGTGAAGCCAATTGGTGCTGTGTCTCAGGTCAATATAAGAGACGCTGTAACCAGTATCTCATGGGAACAATGAGTAGAGGCACTTTGTTGTACTGAAAGAATGAGCACACACAGAAATACCCAAAGTGCAGTGAAATCGATTGTGATAACAAAACCCTGCTGGTTTCTGACTTAGGAAACATCTTTGAAATATAATCCCGGAGGAGATGGTACAATGGCACTGGGCTCAAAAGACTTGACTGCCAATCCAGCAGAGATATTAAACCTAGTTCTCTAGCAGTTCGGAAATTATTCAATTAATTCTTATCAACTAACACTCCTAGAATAAACTGCCCACAATCCTTTATGCAATAAACTGGCAGTGACAACAATTGACTACCATAATGTAAATTACTTAACTTTGTGAACATTAATTTATATTCTGACATGTTTTACTTGAAGGCTTTGGTTAAACGCTTCTTATATTATGGCCAGGTGATTTGTCTTGGCAGACTGTTGTCAAATACAATATTGTGACCTTCTGTGATACTGACTGTTCAATTCAAACACCCATGTTGACGTTATTAGGCGACCACTTGATTTTAATGAAAGGAAGCATTCTGTGAGTTGTTCCACTTCAATACAATTGGGGAGCTCTTTAGACCAATGAAATGTGCTCATAAATTTAATGCTTGGTTTGTACAGATCTCTGAGGCCTAGATTATTAAATAAAACACCTGAGCTAAAATGATCCATAATTTATGTGTGTTAGATCAGACGACTGATAGATAATAATAACACTTTTTAATAGGGTGACTGTTCATATTACACAGCTTACAGCAAAGATGACTGACAGCTCTAGACAATGATACTTTTTTTTAATAGGGTGTCCAACTGTCCATATTCCACAATCAGTTGAAGTGAATTATACTTTTTATGGGGTGTCTAATAGTCCATATTCCACATTCAGTTGAAGTGAATTATACTCTTTATAGGGTGTCTCATCATCCATATTCCACATTCAGTTGAAGTGAATTATACTTTTTTACTAGGGTGTGGTTTTCAACTGTCCACTTTTTTTTTTTTATATTCCACATTCAAGTTGAATGTGAATATTTGCATAACTCTTTATAGGGTGTCTCCATCCTATGGGTCATATTTCCACATTCAGTTGAAGTGAATTATACTTTTTATAGGGTGTCTAATGGGGTCAGCAGCTGCATTTTAAAGAAACAAAATCAAACAGCCGTTGAAGGACTTGGCATTCTAATTGAGGATTTAAAGTGGAACCTATAGGTCAAAAGAATTAGGCAGAAGGGGGAAAACGACAGAAAAAACAGGGAACAGTATTGGCCGGGGGGAGGGTGGGGGGAAATTGGGTGAAGCATGCTCGTTAATTCTTAACATGCGAGGTCGCACACAAACAAATGTTTGACAAAACAAATATAATCAGTGCCACATACATAATTCCATGCAGCTGAGGTCCGAAACACACATGTGTACTGCAAAATGTTTTGTACTAACAAGACAAGAGAAATGGACATGTCCGGAGTGCAATGATGATAACCCAGCTAACTAGACAAGGCAAGAGAAATTATAACTTACTGGCAAACAACACAAAATGAACAGCTGTCCCAGTCAATACTGCGTATTTAATGTGAAAATGATCTTTGAACAATATTTACATAGTGTGTTATTTACACGTTTACTTGTACGATCTACATGAAGTTAATTTCACCTATTACATTTATTTAAATATTATCTATATTGATAATTTTTCAAACTACATTTCCTTGTGGGTTCCAGGGTCCCAAAAGGGAATCTGACCCACTTCTTTTTTACACATCATAAAATGTGGCTAATTAAGGATATACAGAAATCAGATGTGTTGATCCGAAAGACATAGAGCCTAGCTGTAAACCCCATATAACATGCCAACAACCCTTTTAAAGGAAAAAAACCGAAGATGTCTGTTATGCAAAAAATCCCCCTACACACACACAAAGTGGAAAACATCAACATGTTTTGCTGTGTGTCAGATCACAAAAGGGAGACATCTATACTTTCTGCAACTTGTTTCTCTAGTTCAGCCTGAAATTAGAACCAAAAAAAGCAATCTCACAGAAACTGATAGTGCAAATTATGTACATGCATGCATGTATGAACATATGCATAAAAAACAGACAGAATCAGACACATAAACACACAGGTTAAGATGGAGGGACATATAGTAAAAGAGATACATGAACTGCTGATGTAACACATGCTTACCTGCATAAGCACATACAGAATCAGACAAAGAAACACACTCACTGAGATGGAGAAACACAAAGTAAGAGACATTTTTGAAGATAAAAACACAGGCAGAGAGGATTTTAATTACACATGTCTTACTGTACTATTCAATCATATTCTCATCAATACCTAATTTTTAAAATAAAGAACATTAACAGAAAAACTAGCTGCATCCTGAGCCCTCTTCACAACTGCAAGATTCAGAAAAGTGCTGTAACTTTCATGCTGACCAAGACAAAATACGGAAGATATTACATAAAAATTTCGTTAAAAAAACCATAAGGGAAAGGCAAAGATAATCAGAATAAATCAAGCTAACAGTAACAAGGTTTCTCTTTGTGATAGCCCACTCCAAGATGTGGCTTCATACGCCTATATGGGCAGCAATGTAGATAAAGATGGGGAAACTGAGAAATTAAAATATAAACACAAAAAGCTAGAGCACTTTGCATAGCCCTAGGAAACTTGTGGAGGTCAAAAGAAAAAAAATAATACTAAACTAAACAATTTTAATTCTAATGTCAAATCAGCACTGTTGTATGGAGCAGAAACATGAAAAACAACTAAGGCAATTACTAATAAACTACAAACATTCACTAACTGGTGCCTGCACATATTAGAGGGAATTAACTGGTATGATAGAATCACTAATGTAGAGCTATGGGAGGGAACTAAACTAGAATGTCTGTGCACTGCAGCCTACAGGGGCATAGAAATGAAGGAAGACCCACACACACAAAAACACATGGAGAAGGCAGCTAGAGAGTGAAGTTAAAAAGATGGGGAGGTCATGGGGAAAGCTGCATGTGATAGCAAAAGATAGAAGGACTTGGTTGAGGGCCTATACTTAATTGGGAGTTAAAAAGACAGAAGAAGACAATCATAAATTGGTGCCTGTGCAGAATAGGAGGAAATAAACTGCATGAAAGAATCACTAATATTAAGGTTTAGCTTTGGCAGGGAAATAAACACATTCCAGTGAAATATGAGGTAAAGAAAAGACGCTGGCACGGGAGCCCACAAGGGCATACAAATAAAGGAAGACCAAAAAAACAAAAAGAGAAGGAAGCTGGAGAGTGAAGTTAGGGAGGACAAGGGGTGAGCTGCATGACACAGCATAGGATAAGACTACTTGGCATGAATTGGCTAAGGGCTTATGCTCCACTGAGGAAGTTTGAACAACCGATCAACATCATGGCACACAGGTAGTAAACCATAAGTGCTCCGTTTTTCTTTTAACTCAAGCCTGAGTCCGAAGAAGCTCAGCACGGTGCACAGGCTCTGTAGCACCAGTGATGATCCTGAAATACACTGAGGGAAAAAGGGCTGAAGAAGAGAAGACATTAAACATCGATTTTATGTAAATTAATTAATTATCATGCTACACTCTAGTAGCTACATGAAGAGAAAATAAAACACACACACACACAAGAACTTAAAAAACCTTATATTAACATACTCATATGAACTACAATTATTTTTCTGCACTGTACCAAAATTTAATAAACTAACCAAAAACTCAAAAGAACCAAATGACCGTTGCAACTTTCGAACACAATATTCTATTGAACAAATGACTAACTGTAGTTGTCACACATACGATAAGCAATCCAAACCAGTAAAAAATACTGACCAGTTCTTTCTTTTGTTGTTCTATTTTAATTTTTACTTCACTCAGATCCTGTAAAATATAATATGAAAAGAAAATTGGTTACTTCTTAAGATGTGTTGACTTTGTACTAAAACAAAAGAGCCAAATTACTACAGCATTTTAACATGTGCATCAGTAAACATTGTGCAGCCCAGCAGCATCAAGGTTAGTGCGCGCGCTTAACTTTTTTGTGATTCCCCGAGCACCAGGATTCGATTTCCACAAAACTTTTTTTTTTAAACCATCCTCACGGTTTGTACAGTAGTGCAAGAGTCCCGTTGTAGAAAATACTGCCTCACCATGTGATATTCCCAAAGACAGTAGTGTGTGCACAGTTGTCAACCTTCATTGTGAAGATGGCACAGAAAACAATAGCCCCCTGTTATGAAAGTTAGAAGATAAGCAGATCAGAAAGAAGTCACATAAAAGCTGATAAATTATGTCTTTTTATTTTAAAAAAAAAAAAAAAAAAATAAAGCCAAATGCAAACTTGGGACCATGTCCTTTTTCTGCATAAATAAATCAATGTTGTGACTTTGCGTTTGCCCTGGTAAAACAAACAGTTACATTTTCATGTAGTGATTTTGTGTTTAAGTTATAAAGATAAATTCAATATGCTTCATTTTAATCAGCTGTTACTGTAATATGCACCTGACAAGATATAGCGGAATATACCAAACAATAAATTGTGCAGCTTATTTGTGTATACTCTATTCAAATTCACAAGTGGAACACTGCTTTAAAGATATTTTAATGTTTCAAGTCTGTGCTCAGCAGATGTGGTAGTGAAGTGGCTAGACACATGCATGCCATTCTGAAAGTCCTGAGTTTTAACCCACATCAAGATGGATTATGTAATAGGACTGTCAGGTCAACCCAGCCTAGAACAGGTTCCAGAAAATGTTTTAGGAAGCAAAAGTGGCAAAGATGATGTTCACCACAACCCCCCCATAAAGTGTGATACATCATTAAAAATATAGGTCTACCACCATGCGCCCGAAATGTTAATGCCATGAAATAGACCCTTCCTGTTTTGTACAAGCCAGGTCAAGCATATTTCTTGCTCACGGTTTAGTATTTCACCAACTGTCTTTTATTCTATTATTCTAACAAGAATTATTGAAGACAATAAACAACCTCAATAAATGTTTAAAAAATCATTTCTATTCCATACAGATCATTACATGTCCATGCTGAGTTACTGTTTTCAGTTTCAATCAAGCAGATGCTAGTTTATTGCCCAAAGACCTCCAGTTTACGATGGATTCCTCAATAACAAGGGAAAGAACATCAGTTTCATCTATAATGCAGCATAACGCAGATAAAGATGCTGATGTATTTTGTCCAAGTATGGAAAATTTTCCGTCCAGCATGTTGTTTATACTCTGTTTGTGGAGTCTATTATTACTTTACTTTTTTAAACTGAGTTCAATACTTTTTTTTTCTCGATGGGATGCATTACTGGGTTAAAGAGCAACTTCCAGTCATTTCTGGAAGGCCCAACAAATAAACAGGAACTCACTGGAGGTAAGCTACTATATGCCTGGAGTTCTGCACGCACTGGTGCAAGCTTGTCCTGCAATGACTTCAGCATCTGAAAGTAAGTAACATTTGCAGTTAAACAACGGTTATATCTTATTGTCACAACCCTATAAGTACAGTCAGTGTACCACACCGTAAGGTGTGCGTGTTGAGGTGACACCCCAGGGTTGACACAAAGATCAGGGCTGTGACTGGTCAAGTCTGTGCTGTTATTGCACGGCGAAACCAGCGCTCAGGATAAAGCGTTTGGCCACGGCAAGAAAGAGTGAACTGTGTTGTGGACAAACCCGCAACACGATTACCGCTTTTGGGACTGAGCTGGTGAACGGGGTCAAGAGACACGAGGTAGAGAGAACAGAGGACATTCGGTGTGCGACGGTCAGAGAGGAAGCAGACGTTTAGCAAGACAGTGATAGTATTAGAGTTAGGATATTTCTGTTAGTGACTGGATAGTTTATGTACAGTGTTCTGTTAGAATAGGATAGTTCTTGTGTAGAGTATTTATGTACATGTTCTGTGAGAGAATGTCTAACCTTGGCATTTGGTTGGTCAGTGTGTCAATAGTTAAGAGCGTATCTCGCCGTGCTGTGGTTTGCACACCAGGAGATTGCTTGTGGGACGTACTGGGAGCGAGGCGACTGTAAAGCTCGTTCGGCCAGAGGGTCCAGGCAATAGGTGGCCACACAGCGGGAAGTCAACTGTCTATTGTCTTACCTGTACTTACAATAAAGATTGTTGTGTGTGCTCTGTGTGCGTTCGGGTTCAGTGTGTGTTAAAGGTTAGTCTGTCTGTCAAAGGCCCAGTTACGAGCCATGGACCAGCAAGGTCACCCAGAGGTCTGTGACACTTATATACCATATTCTGCTGATCTTTATATTACACTAATACTGCAGGGAATTAGGTCATTTCTGAAAGATTAGACTCAACGAAGATTTAAATCTGACTATCAAAGGCAGGCTGATGCCACAGTGATGCTGCTGCTACCTTCCCCTTTCAAAAATGCTAAGCAACTCTGATCCATTCATTATTTAATACTGTTATACTAACTTTTATTGTAATTATTACACTTAAATGTCAAATGTTTCCCCGTTGTAAATTTGTACAAAGAAGATACATACAATAGATTGCGCCTGGAACTCTGCATTTAGAAAGAGATGGTTCTGTCTTTACGGCTGCCCTGGTAAAAACAGGCAGTCATGTTTGATCGTTGTTGAAATTGTACTTCAGTTATAAATGATTCACTTATTTTCTTCATTTATGTGATTGTTACTGTAGTATGCACCTGATGTGATACATCGAAATATGCCAGGCAATAAATTGTGCAATCTATTGTTTGTGTCTTCTTTGTACACACTTAAATGTGATTTAATGATCAGTGCAACAGATGCCCTCATGTATAACATGATGCATACTTTTTTAGCCCTAACTTAAGTAAAAATATGAAATTAATTATGAAGCTTTTACAATATTTCACGGTGCCCATGTGAAGAGGTCGCGGCTCCCCGAGGCGCACAGTTCAGGAATCACTGACCTAAGCTATCGGGCTAAGCGCATAATGAAAATGATAAAAATGATAAGTTAAGCAGTCAGCATCAACCATGAAACAAATAGTAATAGTAATTATTTGTAACTGTTTGAGACAGGAGTTGGCTGTACTTTGAATTCTATATCTATATATGATTAAACAAACTGCAATCACAGGCATCTACCTCATATTTCTTCAACAAATTTTCATGGAAAATCGATTCATCAGCTCCACTGTCTTTCAGCTTCCTCTGAAACAAGAAAAAACATCAATACTTTTAAACCATCTCCTTAAAGAACAATAACCATTAACAAAAAGAAAGATAATGAAATGGGAAATAATTACAAGTTCTGAAAGTTGAACTTTCATCTGGTAAAACCAAAGTAAAGAAAATAGCCCTTCTGGACGGAGGATATATATAGTGGTAGATCCATTCTCCCCAGTTTCATTAGAAGAATGATACAGTCACCACCATACTGGTTGCCTTTACCTTCATAGGTAGGCTGACCTCGGGTCATACTGATCTGAGAGAAAATTCTACCAGTAATGTGGATTTAAAGAAACCACAGAGCTCGACAGAGAGGAAGGGGAGAAGAAACAGGCCAAGAAAGATCTCGATACAAAATCTGGGAGGATCAGACAGGCTTCAAACATGCAAACATCAAGTCCATTGCATCTAGTCAATAAAGGTGAAGGGAACTGATCAGAGTGTCAACAGCAACTGGTAACTCAACAACATGCTGTATTACATTATGGGGCTATGATGTTGATGATGAATGAGGATTTAGGTAAGAGCTACTGAACGGGAAAGTTAGTGCACTTACCACACTATTTTGTCAAGGCTGCTTTTTTCATTACCTCCTAATATAAAGTAACTTTCTTTATATCTTCAAAGTCTGTCCCTAATAGACATGTCCACATCTAGACTTTAATCTTCCTCCAGAACCTGAGTGTTGTGTGCACATCCATTTTACAGACCTAGCTTACCTGTATGCAGACTGCTGGTTCTTTGCCTCTCAGGCAGATGCACTCCAACTTTGAAGGAAGCCCCCAGTTAGTCAATTCTTACGGCATGCTTGTCTGAGACCCACAATGGTGCTCCACATGGGAGAAAATCCATTGACAGTTGTAACTTTTTCATATGTTCTTTATCCTGCAGTGGTGAACAGAGCTTCAACCAACGCATGCAGCCACCCTATGCATTGCCATATTATTCATTTGTCTATCTCTCTTCTCTGTGTGTGTTTTTTTTTTTAAACCCCTTTAATTTGTTGTTGCACCATGGGTTCCACTGCAAGGGCATTTCAATTATACTATCAGCTTCTCTCAGTGATCATGCCAGGTCAAGATTCCCTCAAATTTGTCTGTCTTCACAAACCCCACATAAGTGATTCTGTCATACAATTTAATTCCATCTGTTCAGTGCAGGCACCTATACAATTTGCTTTAGTTTATTTTATTTCAATCATTCTCCATGCCACAGTGCCATACAAAGGCACTGATTTGAAGTTAGTTAGATACCCCTAGTCTGGTAAGACGTTTAATTGCTGTTGACTTGCATCAATTTAGTACTGGAAAAGCTTCTCTTATCTTTTGCATACTTACTTTTAAATCTTTTATTTCTTCCCCTACAGGTGTCTACAGTTTAAACAGGCACACAACTTCCCATTTTGAAGTGGGAGGTTACATTTAAAAACAGTTATCTTGTGACTTTATCAAGCAATAGCCCCAAAAGGCAAATGAACAGTTTCAATCAAATTAGGGGTGACTTTAAGTAGCTCTTACTTAAATCCTCATTCATCGTCACCATCATCATAGTCCCATAACACAGCACATTGTTGAGTCACCAGCTGCTCTTGACTGATCAGTTCCCTCCACCATTATTGACCAGATGTGCAATGGACTTGATGTTTGCGAGTTTGAAGCCTGTCTGATCTGCCAAATTTTGTATAGAGATATCAAATCTGATATGTTCTAACACCTTCTATGATTGAATAAAACTAATATATACCTGCAATTTTGAAAGATCTTTTCCATAATTTTTGATCTTCTTATACAAAAAGGTGCATTTTGCTTTCCTCTCTTCATAAGTTGGATGGTTTTCAATGTCCTTTGCTTTCACATTATCTAATGCCCTGTAAAATGTGATTTAACAGTTATCACAGATTTACTGATATGACAGAGTGAACAAAATATTTTTTTTCATAGATGTACTGACATAAAAAAGTGAATAAACAGCTTTACCTAATTTACTGACATAACTAAGTGAAGACAACACAGCATTCACATACTTACTGATTTCTTTCTATCCTGTGTAACCATTTTCTTTCTGTGTAACCATTTTCTTTCTGTGTAACCCTTTCTTTCTATGTAACCCTTTCTTTCTGTGTAACCCTTTCGGTATCATGGATGTATTCCAGTCCAGCACCTTTTACCTCGCTCACCAACATTATCTTGGGGTTTCTCTTGGATGTTCTCATTGTCTCAATACATTTGTTTCCCAAATTAATGATTTACTAAAAGACAATGCCCCGTTTCTTGTTATCTCATTTTTCGAGAAAACTCATACAAATTGTCTGATACCCGTCAATTACTGCCTTTATTTTACCACTTTTGCGGTGTAGGAAGGCGGGGTCTTGGAGCCTGAGGATTTACAGCCACATTGCTACTGCTGTCGCCACGACTGTGGACAACTCTGCAGCTGAGCAGAGCAGGGCACACACTTGTCCTGACAGTTGGAAATTACTGTCACATTATCTTTCCAAGTATTCATGCAGTCACAGCTTTAACTCAGTGAATGAAGTTAATGGATGTCTTCCGACAGTCTCGTACATAGGGACTGTCGTGAGCCACAGGTGTCAGACCACTAAGGGCAAACCTAACAGATTTAAGATAGGAACCTGGAATGTTCAAACATTAGCAGAATTAGGGAAGGTATATAATGTCTTACAGAAAACGAAAAAGACGAAACTCAACATCCTGGGAAATTGGCCAGGCAAAGGCAGCATTTCAGAAGATGAAAAGTATCTTGCCCACAGTAATAACCCACTCTCATTTAACATCAGACGAGTACTGAAATGTTATACCGAGCCTGTTCTGCTGTATGGAAGTGAATCTTGGAACGTGAGCAATACAATTAAGAAGAGTTTGGAGGCAAATGAGATGTGGTTTTTGAGAAGAATTTTGAGAATACCGTGGACTGCCAGAAAAACTATCAATGACTGCCTGGAAATGGCTAATGAAATTAGAACATTATTTACAACAATGAGAAGGAGATAAAGTTCTTTGGTCATGTGATGAGAAAAGGAGCACTGGAAAATATCGTAATGACCGGAAAGATAACTGGTAGAAGACACAGACTAAGATAAATGTTGGTGGATGGCTTAAGACAGTGGCATGGAGGAACATCATCAGTGAAATTGATCCAGAACAACAAAGATCGAGACTTGTGGAGATGCATGAATGCCTACACCTGCTGGCAAAGGCACTTGATGATGACCAACTGTACCCATGTATAAAGTTGGGTCAAGATCCTGAGTCACTATTGGCTAGAAAAAAATAATTCTGCCCCTGTGTTTAATAAGACAAAAGTATTTCATGATAATGTTTATTCTTCTTCTTCTTTCTTTCACTTGAAATAAATTATTTATATCTGCAGTGCTGTCTCTAATATGAGCTCCACTGTCTTTTTAATTCATTTAGTGGTCCGTAAAGTTTGGCTTCCACCTGTGCCTCTTTTGGCAAGAAGTTTTGCCTGAAAATGTATTTGGGACAGTCATGGAGGATGTGATCTGTTGTCTCAGGTGCCAGTCCACATGTGCACATGGCTGACTCGCCAATCTTAAATTTTGTTTCATTGTGATTATGTCCTGTTCTAAGGCGTAGAATAATAATTTGCTCTGGCCAGTTTTGGTTGCTTTTTGATTATTCTCTTCTTTTGCTGATAAGAGACTGGTATGTGAGGCTGTTCTTCAGTTGCACCTTTCTGAGCTAGTTTATCAACTCTTTCCTTTCCACGAACTCCACAGTGGGACGGTATCCATTATATAGCTACCTTACACCAGTTGTCTAGATCACAGAGTAGTGTCCATTTACCTTGTAATTTTCCAGACTTGAGTGCTTGTCAAGAATACTACTGGGTGTGAAATTTACCCGGTATTTAGTAGTTTCTCTGCTGCTATCTTGTTGGCTTGAACTTCTGCATCGTAGTTGTGACAGGGTTTGCCTCTTGGTATTTTGGTTGCATCCCAGGTATTGTTAGGGTGCTCAATGTACACTTCTGCTGTTTCTGTTTGCATTCTGTGCTGACCCAGCTGTGTAAATGCGAACCCAAAGACCCAGCGGGTATGCATCATCAAGGGGACTGAGGGTGGCTGTTTTAAGCTGCACACTGTTTTGTTCTTCATGGTCAAATACTTCCTTCACTTCTGTCTTGATAGGTATTGTAAACTTATTTTCCTCTCTTTAAAGGGTCCGTTCAGAAACAGCATTTAAGGGGCTATCAGTTGCGATGCTGTTTATAAGCTAAGTTTCTTTGATGTTCAGATACTGCAGAATGTCAGAGTAAGAAAGATTTACACAATAGATCAAGTGCTAACTACTGTATGAAGAGACAGGAGAAAAGAGAGTTGCTGAAGGAAATTAAATCTTCTTCTTCAGCGATCTCTGGTCATGCACATAATCCACTGTGGGCCGTAAACTGGGATATCATCTCAAGGTTTCTTAGGTTCCCTAAAGCTTAGTTGTCAGGTCGACTGGGTGTTGCCATATGTTGCTCTGCAGCATAACCAAAAGAGGAGTCTTGCAGGACATGTTCTGAAGTCTGACAACAGTAAGACACTAACAGAGAGCTGTTTGGCTCATAGCTAATTTATATGAGTGACTTGGTCTGTTCTGTTCAGGTGTTTGAGCAAATCTTTGTCATGGTCATAACCAGTGTTTTTTTCAATCTGTTCCTGATTTTCTCTTAATGAGAGTTTTGACTTTTGGAAAAGATAGTGGCGGGTAGATTTTGTTGCTGCCTTCCTTGGCTAAAACATCAGCGCTTTCATTGTCTTTGATGCCACAGTGAGATGGAATCCACTGCAGGTTAGTTTCTGCTTTTTTTTTTGGACAACATAACCCGTTCCTTCATTAGACTTTGTGGTGTGCTGTCAGTAGGTTTGGACTTAAGAGCCTGTATGGCTGACAGTGAGTGTGAGAAAAACCATCTTGCCTTCGGTGATTTGTAGCCTGTTCACATATTGTGCTGCCATCAGTAGGGCTGAGAGCTCTGCCTTGTTGTTAGAGCAAGTTCGTCCAGTGGGGGCTGCCAAGGAACAGCTGTGGCATATGGATGTTGAATGTAAACACCTGCCTAACCATTCATAGTCGCCTCTTTTGCTGATCCATTCGTGTAGAGTCTCATCCAGCTGTCCTGTGAGAACATGTTGAGGTGTTCCACTGTGAGTGCAGTCTTTACTAAAATAAGGTCAGCATCTCTGTTTCCCAGGTTTGGGATGGATGCTGAAACACTGAATGTCAATAATTGTGAGTCACAGAGACAGAAAAATAGCTCTTCATGTGCACATTGTTGGTTTAATAGTGAAGAGTATGGCTTTCCGAATTCTTTAGTTAGATGGTTTAGGCTTGTGCGTTGTATTCGGTTCTTTGTCCTGGCTGCCAATTTTTCATGCAGTGGGTGGTTTGGCATTCTCTTCATTTTTTCCTCATGTCTGTGATGTTTCTATGTCAGGTGACTGTCAAGCTTTACTCCCAGGAAGGTTGGAGTATTGAAGCGTGGAACAGCAACATCGTTAAAATTTTAATGTAAACATTTCCTCTTCTTTTAGACAATGAGAAGAGTGTAGTTACAGTTTTGTTCTTGTTTACTTCGAGGCCCCATTCAGTGGCCCAGCTTATGACACTGTTCACAGGGTGGGTACATATTTGTATTATTTAGTTGCAGCTGGACAGCAATGAATTCAGTATTCAGCTGGTTGGATCTATGTAATTCAACAGCTGGTATTGAATTACGAACCAGTGTGGCAACCCCACCTTTATGTCTAGTTTCTCTGTCCAGGCTTAATATTTCATATCCTCTAATATGAAACATATTTCCTGGATTGAGGTGCGTCTCTTGAATGCTGATAACATCGATTTTCTATGCTTGCAGGCGTTCCTCTAGTTCTCTCTTTTTATTAAATACACCTTCGGCGTTCCATTGTGTGATTCAGAGTGGTGGAAGTGTGTCCTTGCAGTCAGAAGTGACACCCTATCCTTCCCTAGCAATGCAGGAAGCCGCAGGGCTGTCGGTGGCTAAGGTTAAACCTGTTTGAGATGTGAGAGCGAGTCCCACTTTCACCTGATTGTTACCCAACATGGTAGTACCACAGTTGGGTAAATATTCGTGCATGACCATTGAGTTAACCATATGTATCGATTCCTTCCCATTTAAAAAAAATGGTTGACACATTCTGTTTCCGTGAATAGCTTTTATCAAGTTTGCTCTCTAGACAGCTGCAGTTCCCTGCTGACGAGATTCTGTCTTCCCGAGTGGGCCGCCACGATCAAAACATTGTGAAGGCAGCATGGTCGAGGCTGCCACAACTATTAGTTATTATCCTGCCCCGTCATAGCAAAACCACAATATACACTGCTCCCACGAAAAACACACAGTACCCTGCGTTGGAAATGTGCACAAAAAAGCAATCCTTGGTTAGGAAACAGAGTAATCCAAGAGCGAAATAAATAAAAATTTTAAAAAAGGAGGCCATATTAAAGGACTAAAACTCTTGAAAAAACCATACTGCAGGGAAAAACTGAAGGTAAGAGTCCAAGAGGTAGACAACAATACAAGGGGGAAGACATCATCAAGAGGTGAATGAACAGCAGCCTAAGAAAGTTTATTACCAAAACAAGAGACAAGAGTGTTGGAGATACATTACAGCCAGCCTGCATAGTGGAGAGGCACTTGGCTGACTGAACTTTTATTCAAATCTGTGGGCTGTGCCCCATGGATTGGTAGGAAGCAGCCCGAAGACCTTCATAAAATGAGCATTTTGCTTCCTCAGCATGTCAGACTGTTCTTGTAGATAAGGATACTTTTCGTCTTGAGCCCTAACTGTGGTAGTATTTGCAAAGACAGGATCATATTGTTCATTTTGGAAAGTATTCGTTAGACATGGTGGCCTCTTTTCGTCACAATACTCCGCCAAGCCTTTGGCGGAGGACACTTGCATTTATTAGTCATTTAGTCAGATTTACACTCTGTGGACGTTTGACACATTGTTACCATTTAGTAGAAGGCTTAATAAACAGGTTTGAAAACTCTTTTTCCTAATGAGTCTTTGAATGGGAGTTGTCACAGCATCGACTGGGGGCTCGCTGGTGTGTGCCATAGGATTTCCATCTCTGGACACATGCATCTCTATGGACCACCAGTTCTGTGATTTTATGCCAGCTCTGCTTGAATCTCTGTTGGCCTTTACCTTTGGCAATTGACGAGGACATTCTGGATGGCATTCCGTAAAACTAGCACAGAGCCTGAGGTGATGTACGCGTGTCTCTTTATACACAGCACAACGGTCATAACTTTCCTTTGTGTCTGTGACTGGAATCACCCCACTACTAACATTTATATATATTTTTTTTTTATAAAGTAAGCTAAATACAGTAAATACATACATAATTATTTTTAATTTTTAACCATTTCCCTTTTTCCATCTCACAAATATTTGCCTTCTCTCTTTCTACCAAACATGACTTACGAATGCAGGTCACTGCACTTGAGCGTGAGACTGTGAGTCTTATTTGCAAGCTTTTTCAGATGTTGAATCTCCTGTCTGCGTTGTTCTTTAACTTCTTCTAATCGTTCATCTAAATCTTGCAGTGCCAATAGATAGCTGAAAAAAAAATGAGAACATACTAGCCAAGTTTTTACTAGCAAATGAACAACAACAAAAATACTAAAGCAGACATGATACCATGCACTTTGTTAAAACAAGAATAAAGACTGAATGTAGGTGCTTACAACTTGAAATCATCTGTAAGTGTTTTGAAATCTCTTTGTTAAGGTCAAATTAGGAGGCTTTATACTCTGATAGTTCTTTTAAAACACTGGTAAAGATCCTCCTATGCCTCTCTATCCCATTTTCATTTTGTTAATATTTTTATGCATATGTTTGTGTGTACACATACACACATACAATTTACACATGCTATATTAGTCTGCTGTTTGTAAGTTTTCTTTTGAAATATAACAAAGGCTGGGTTTTTAAATCAGACAGAGAGTTGTCAGTCTGCCATTTTGCAACTTGGAAAGCGGGAAGGAAGGGGGGCAGAGCATCACGTATATCATGAAGTGTCAGCTCTGTAATGAAGACAGCCTTAAAGAATCTCTAGCACTCTCAGTTCTTCATATTCGTGGTGCACTAATATACTATTCTTTTCATTCCACGCCTTCATCTTGTCTAATGGCACATAACACTGTCTTCTTCCTGCAGACTTTCTTCCAACACATCTTTTAACAAGCAGTTGTGTCTCTTTCTTTTCTCTATTCTTCCATGCAGCACCAGGTTTTGAAGAGGCTTCTGGTGCAAGTATTGGTGTGTGCTGTGTAGATGCTGGTCTTCGCGGCCTAAGATATTCCATCTGCTTGCTGCATGCAGTCCATTTATGGTTTGAGGTGGCTTATCACAATGCTTAGACAGATTTCCTCTTGTGTTTTCTGTGAGCAGGTTTTGCATCTGCTGGGTATGTCACACTCTTTAGGAGTATTTCACCAGGTGTATCCCATCCCATTAGCTTCATTTAGGAGTGTACCTCAGATTCCACAGTACACCATTCTGTGTTTCTTCATCTGTCTCATCATTATCATCAGTTCTCATTATGCCAGTAGCACATGAGGCTTCAGAGAGGACTTTCCATGCTTTCCTGTCCTGTGCAATCTTCAATGCAGTTTTCCATGTCAAAGATGCCACACTCAGGTCACTTTCCATCGTTCGTCTCCATGTTGTTTTTGGGCGCCCCTTTTTTTCTCTTTCCCTCTGGTATCCATGTGAGAGCTGTTTTGGCAGGTATATCAGGATTCATTTTCATAACGTGGCCAAACCATTTCCATCTTCTTTTGGTTATCATACTGTCTAGAGTTTCTTGGTTTGTGACTTGAAGTAGTTTAGTGTTTGAGATTGTATCTGGCCAGAAAATTGTGATAATTCTACGTAGACATGTGTGGTGGAAGATGGACAGCTTGTGTACATTCTTTTTGGTCATTCTCCAGCATTCCGCTCCATAGAGAAGAACTGGCAAAATGATGCTCTTGTAGAGTCAGAGTTTCGTTCCTCTGCAGTAATTGTTGGATTTCCAGATTTGCACATACTTTCAAAAGCAGCTCTAGCTTTGTTCAGGCATGACTGTATGTCTTCCTCTGTCCCTCCCAGTAGGGACACCACACTGCCAAGATATGTGAAATGTTCTAAATTTTCAAGTGATTGGTTACTTATGGTCACTGGTTGTTGGTTTGGACTGTTTGTAATGATCTTAGTTTTCATCTGTCTGAAGTAAAGTACCCAAAATATTTGACCTCAATCTAATTCAGGAAGAGCTGAATATATGACAGGCCTGTGTGCCCAAACTCTGAAAATAAAGTTCTTCAGTAATGTTCTCTTGATTCCCATTGCCTGTTATTCTCTTTCTTCTCATACCATATTCTTCCTCACAGACACACACCACAGCTAAACAGACACACATATACGCAGCCACAGAAAAAGACACCTACACAGATGCACACAGACATAAACCCACACACACAGCCATAAACCCACACACACAGCCACAGGCACACACATACAGAGACATATGCAACACTCACACATACACAAACGCACACAGACACACAAACAGAAACACACGCACACATTATCAAATAGACACACCCATAGAGACACACATGGAGCCACACAAACAGACATACACGCAGCCACACATACAAGCACAGATTCACACGCAGCCACACACACAGACACATACATAACACATAGACAGACGTACAAACATACACACAGACACAAACGTATAGACACACACAACACTGTCACACACGCAGACATTATCAAACACAACACTGTCACACACGCAGACATTATCAAAGACACACAGATACACACGAAGCCACACATACAGAAATATACAGACATACACAGGCATAGACACAGACACACATGCAGCCACACGCACAGAATGCAAAACCAGCATTCTTTTCTAGGCATAATTTTTTCCAGCACTGCTGTAATAGAGACTTTGTGGTGAGTACCGGCACCTTTTTCTAGGAAAAAAAAAAAACCCTGTTTAAGACACTTTAATGAAACCTACACATGCATATGTAAATAACTAGTTGCAAGTCTAGATGTGCAAAGGCCTAAATTCATTAGCTGTGTTTGGTTTATAATTTAATTTAAATAAAAAAAAAAATAAACAGTCCCTCATTAGTACACTAAAAAGCTTGCAAAGCAAATTTTTTTTTTTAAACCAATCAACACACTTGATGATTTATATGGTTTCTACAGCTCTTATTTTCATAGGTTCAGCACTAAAAAAAAAGGGAATTCGAAGCCTCAATCAATCCTTCAGTCAACAGAAGGTCACTATGCCACTTTCTGTGACTGGCAATGTATCTCGAAGCAGGGTTTTGTTCATTTTTTTTTTTTTTACCATGGTCACAGTAACGGAACCTTTTTTTTTTTTAGCACTGCTGAAATTGAGACTTTGTCAGCCGAAAGCTGCTTTTACTTTCTAAAACCAGTGCAGTCAATTACTGTTCATTCTAAATTACTGTGATGTTTAATATCACACTACCAGTCCAAGTTCCAGCTTATTGCAAATGGGTCGACCCATAATTGTGCCGTTTCTGTGCCAGTAAAAAACACACACAATGCCCATCACTGTCTCATGCAAAAAGTCAAACAGACAGCAGTCCCGGCAAAATTCAACAGTTTACATACACATCAAATGCATAAGACAGATGCAGGAAATGCTTAAACCTTCGGTTGGTCACTGGAACTGCTATTCGTTGTTGATGTAAGCAGCAGTCACCACATATCAGCATGTTCACATGCATTACTGTGTAAGGCAGACCACCAATTCTGTGGCAACCAGCCACTCCCAATTTGTATGATTATGCAGTTTACAACAAACATCTCTAGGAGAACAGATAATAAGCATTTCTAATGAAATTCAGTGTCGCACCATGCACTTAACTCAGTAACTGGCAAACAGAGCAGGATTTCGCCTTTACTTCATTTGTTGTTGGGGGGGGGGGGGGTGTCCCCATCCAGTTTTCCACTGGGGGCTGAGACACCAACCTTCCATTAGATTATTGCGGAGATCAGGGTCCATCAAATGAGACAGGCTTGCGCAACAGAGGCTATGAAACATTAGGTATTGTATGGCATTTCATTGCTCTATCAGGACTAAAATGTTTAATATCACTAATGTATTTCATCAGTTTCTGAGACATGATATTCCTTTTGAGCCAATTTTCTTTGAAATGCATAGCTTACCATGAAAGTGATGGGTCCTTAATATCAAGCAGTGTCCCAAGTTTTGCTAAAGACCTGACATTATTAACACCAGCCTGTGACAAACTGTTTGGGCCCATCTGGAGTCTTGACAAAATTTCTGACAACCGTTGCGCTGCAAAAAACAATTGCAAAACTAATTATTCTCTTCTTCTTCTCGTCCATGTTGTACCTCAGAGAAGTGTCGGGAGGAGATATAACATTCGTTGATGAGCTCTATCAAGAGCACTATTAAGACTGATGTTCATTTCTGTAGGGCTGTTCTTAATGCCATCAGTGTATCTTTCCTAGGTCTTTCGCTCAGTCTATACCTGTTGTAACATTTCTATGTGGCTCGCTGTGGTAAATAGTACCAGGGCATTTTTGTTAGGGGTCCAAACCACTTTATTTGTTGTTCTTTGATGACCTGTAAGACTGGCTTTATTCCTTGCAATTGCCTGATTTTGTATTCTGTCTTTCCTCAAATTCCTGCATCTCTTCTAAGGAATTTAATCTCTGCTGTTACAATTGTACGTTCAGCAGAGATGTAGTGTCCACGTTTGGCACTGATAGCATAGTGCTGGCCAAAAAATAGACCTGATAAGATTCAATTTAGTAGTCAGTGGTATCTGCTTCTGTGTCAACGGGGGAGATAGTTGCCCCATGTAAAAGATCTGGAACAAGAGACTTAATGGTCTCTTTATAACCCCCCCCCCTTTTTTTTTTTACATGGAAACAAACAATAATGTCATATATATACATTTATTAATTACATTCAAATATGCTAGCACAAATGTTAAAAAGATGACAGATACTTCTGTAAAAGATAATTAAAAACAATAATTCACATTGTTTTAAAAAAAACAATAAGGCAACAATATACATTAGCAATAAATTTAATACTAGATTGATTAACAGCTCATAATAGTTAATATAGTTCAGATTAAATGGTATTTATATTCTGTTAAACGAGGGTGCCTTCCTAGCCTTTTCCCTGGCAGTTGTGAACAATATCATGAAAATCAATCATTTTTGCAAGATCAGATGCAGTAGGGAGTCTTGCCAAATCTATCAATTGCCACTGTGACATAGTCAATCTTAGATAATTGTTTGTCAGCTTTGGTCTGGTGAATGATTGCTCTGTAGAGGCAACAGTGGCAAGAATGGTCAATAGAATGCAAAGGCTCACAGATGTATTTAGAAAGAATCCTTCCAGCTTTATCTCTTCAAGCAATTCAGTAGCTTCAATGGACTCAGCTGGCCTTCTTCAAAGTTTGTTTGATAAACAGATGACAAATGACTTATTTTTATAAGATCTTGACTAATAATTTTGATTTTCTTTCAGTTCATATTGAGAGATTGATAGGTACTTCCAAAGGAAGCTGAACTTCTCAGAAATATGCATGCAGCAGTGAAATGAACAGTCAGTCCACCAATGATATTATCCAGTATTACATAGAAGACAAGACTTTCTGAAATATGTGTCCTCATGGCATTCATCCACTTCATCTTGTTTGGACAAATCTGCTTCTTCTATAACATCTTTATCAAGGAACTTCTTTCTTTTGCGTTTTGCTTCATCCCGAGTTCCAGAGAGTTTCACTGCAAAGCACAAATTAGAAGCAAAAGGCTGAGCTTCACTCCACATACTTTTCCAGCTAAGAGTCAGTTCTGAAATCAAGCTTTTAAGCTGGACACTTGGACATCCAGTGCTGCATCTCTGGACTGAATAACCTTGTTGAAGTCCATCATCCAAACCACCCAAGAAAAGCAAGACAAATACAGAAAACCATGACACTGGGTTACAACCTGGTATCAGTGAGATGACAAAAGAAGAAGAAGAAGAAGATAACCTTGATACACATATTAACTGGAACTATTACTCTGTACAACACGACAGATACTGTCATACAAATGAAGGACATGACATAAGACAAAGCTCCATTAATCTCTGTTCTTGTTTTAGTATTTACCTTCAAGTCTTAAGAAATTTTCTAATGCTAATTTGAGACCTGGCACTTGGGCTACAAAGGACTTTATATTTTCAATCGATATGGCCATCAGGTGCTAGACATGCAATGAAGAGAATTATACAGAAGAGAATGCCCCTAGATAAACAATTGCAAAAATCAGTTTTCCCCTTTAAGCTCCTTGGCTCAGGAATAATGTGCCGACTGCCTTCCCCTCTCCTAAGGCCTGTCTTCCTTACAGGTATATCCTCTACCTTACATGTATATAAATTAGTTTAGATGTATACTATCTACTTTACATTATACAATCTAATCTACACACTATTATATATATATATATATATAATATATATATATATATATATATATATAATATATATATATACCATCTAAATAGTTTTTATACTATATCCTAACATGCAAAAATATGCCTCAACATAATAATATATATTTTAGCTTGCTTAGCAAATGATTACCTTCAGCATAGTATTCACTAGTTTTCTGGTCAATGTCCTCAACAATTAACTTGACATAGCGATCTTTTGTTTGATTAGTGAGCATTAGCTGATGAAGGTAATGGAGTGTTCCTTCATTCAGTTCAAAGTCTGGTATAGATTCATCGCCAAACAGATTCTCGAGCCAAGCATACACCTAAAACATGCCACAAATATACATTTTATACTGACAAATACAAAAGGAAAGTGTAATGGTAATACTAATAATGCGGCAAAGCAAGACATGGAATGTCGCTAATCAAATGCTAAGAATACTATTTACACACAAATTATTATTCGACAAGTTTTACTCATAAGTACTAGCCCGGCTCTCTAGCGTAGTTGGCTAAACCGGATTGCACGGAGACCGGGTGACTAACTCCTTGTGGTCCGGGTTCAATCCTGGGGGTAGGCAGGAAAGCCACATTTTCTCGCAGATTTATGGTATTTACAATGGAATCAAGGCCAAAAGGTTGCGATATCCATAATACCGAGCCTAAGGGTTAACAACTCATGGCTTCTGGATACTAAAACAAACAAACTCATAAGTACTGCACCTCTCAGAAGAACATATATCTACAGCTTTTCAACTGTTTCAGCATCAAATTCTTTTAAAGGACAGCCCAAATGATACAATAAACAGTGAAATAGGATGGATCAGTTTCTTATTTTCAAACTGGCAACATGTGATGTGCTGCATAGTAAAATATAGGCCAAATTTCTTTAGTGTGTTCAGACCAGATATAAATTAAATGATTAAACACCATTTAGTACCTGATACACACAGATAATAGCTGATCATATAAGGTGCATATTGTGGGATCGGAAGAGTTAATGACTGGTATACTCATGTTGTTAGACATTGTTTCAAGTGCAGGATGGGGAAACAATAATTTCATTCTTTAAGTCACTTACAGGCTTCATAACTGTTAGAGTAAATGAAATTATTTCAAGCAATAGCCTATATATTTACCCAAACAATCTAACAATCGGTTATAAGACAGAGAAGACAGTGCTACATTGAACATACCCTGAGAAGAAATCAGCAGAGAATCACCAAAACAGGCATTCAAATGGAAAATAAAGGGATTAAGGAGGCAAGAGACCCAAAACAAACCCTAACCTGAAAACTGATGAGAGAGGTCAAAGGGCTGGTCTGGATTCCATCCATGATATTGACTGATTGCAGAGGATGAAATGGAAAGGAGGAATAGACTGTGAGCCCTTTGTGACATAATGGCACAACAGGAAAATGAATGAATGAATCTTATATTACAAAGACTTTATGGCTATATTAATTTACTTATTTATCACACATTTGTTTTTTATATGGGTAAAAATGGACATTCAATAAGTGATATTACATAAATGTTTCACAGAGTGGACAAAGTAAATGGCATGCTGCAAAGCTTCAGACAAGATAAATTTGTAATTATGTTGCACTGTGGACGTGTCATATGGAAAGAAAAAAAAAGGTTTTTCCTTATTTGTTACTTACCACTTATAAAACTGCTGAAATGCTTGCCTTAGAAGCAATATTACAGAAATCCTTGCAATGGTATTGTTAATGTATGCAATCAATGGTTGTTTATGTGACCCCAAAGGAGACAAATCAACTATTGTGTGTAGGTTCACAATACTGTTTAAGATTAAGGTTAGGGTAAGTGTTTTGGTTATGGTTAGTGCTTGGCTTATGGTTCGCCCTAGGATCGCCGTTGCAAGGACTGCCAATATTTTTTCTGACGTTGTTGAGACTCTGAGGACCGTTTGATTTTATTTTGTTCACTCTGTCGATAAAATTTTGGCGCTCCTTTGAATCATTCCCCAAAATGGCGGCATGTCACATTCTGGCCATAAAATATCCAAAAATATCCAAACGACGGTGTTCGCGTACATCTAAAATACGGACTTTCTGCCAAGGAACAAATCGTGGCAAAACTAGGATTACTTGACAATCAATATCAACAGTTGCACACGGTACTAGTAGCAGACGATAAATACCGACCGTTGACAACAATTTCGAGCGTTTCTGCAGACGATATTAGCGACCGTTGACCAATTTCGAAACATTACAGACGATGAAAGCCGATTAGCAATACTGTGCTCTTCCGATTGGAGGATTTAGCAGCGGTAGATGTCAGACTTGTTGGCATGCGCCAAACGCGTTTAAACTCATCGCCGAGCGTATCACCCGCGCGGATGGGGGCTATACTAGGTGGCTGGGACTCACGAGTATAGTAATTGGAGGAAGTTGCAGGAGATGCGGTAGCTGCCGCTCGTGAGTCCCAGCCATCTAGTTAAGCCCCCATCCGCGCCGCGCGTAGCGGCGCGGGGGATACGCTTGGTGATGAGGCACACTCGCAGAAGCAAGTCGGCAAGCAACGTATCGCCGAGACCCTGTCAGAGCATTTGTTTCATTATCCGGAGCCGGCACATATATTTTTAATAGAACTGACCCGCATTCGGATATTTTATGGCCAGAAATTGGCCAATTTAGCTCTCTTTTGAACGCCATCATATTAAAGCTGCCATTTTGGAGAATGAAAGGAGAGCCAAAATTTTGGCTCTCCTTGCACCTTTGGACGCTAGCTTGACGGCTTAGTGGGAGTTCTCTCCCTTCGCCGCATTGAAAACAAG